ATATTTACTTGAGGATAGAACATTAAGTTATTCTAGCAGTATGTAAAATACGTACATTTTAACAGTGAAATTAAGGACCTATTTAAAATTTAGCAGTTGCTAAGCAATGTGCTATTAGCAGAACTCCAACAGCTTGAAACATTTAGCATTTTAGGACCTACGTGCTCTTTTTTGTTATTACTGAGTTTACAAAATACAGTTAGTGATCAACAAGGAAGTTCATAACTTGTTTGGACAATAGATGAGACTTTTTCTGGATATTCATCTTAGCAAAAAGCACCTAGGAAATACTGTTATGGATTGGTATGGATAGAGCTCTATAATTTCCTTCTAAAAACTGTGGGTGAAGTTCTACTGTGAGAGTCCCAGCACAGTTAGGAGCAGGAAAGCCACAACAAAGGTATCTCCACCCATGCCAGTGCCTGGAGGAGAGCCCGCACTGGCAGTCTTGCTCTGCTCAGCAGCCTTGGGTAACCCATACAGGGAGGAAGATCTCAACATCTGGGTTTACAGGGCAGATTTATGCTACCACTGCACGAAGGATTTCCCAAACTGCCCTGGAATGTACGTGTGTTGGGCTGAGCAGAGCTGCCCATGCTAATTCCTTTGGCAAAGCTTTCTTACCCTTGACAAGGTTTCTAGGTAAGCACCAAGAAGTTCCTGTGAACTAATTATCTTACGGACAAGAGGAAATTATCTAGACCAGTGCGGACTTATGGCTGTGGGCCAGATATGACCCTAGGATTTCAACCTTTCCCAGGAGCTTTGTCTGTGCCACCAAGGGCACAGCCATAAACACAGGAACTGTACTGTGGAAATCCCTGAAATACAACTTCAGGGGAATTGGCCTGTCCTCTTCTACCTTGGCATACATCCATGAAACATGTTTAGCAAATGCTAATCTGGAAAGTGAAACCCATGACGGTGTTTGCTCTTGCCTGTGAATCTTTGGAGACTCTTACTCTGAGTAAGCCAGTGTCTCAGTGGGGCTGGAATTACTCCAAAGTCCTAAATGCTCCTGGTCCTTCATACAGATGATCTCCCAAAGAGAGATGGCCAGACATCTACCATCTGCCCAGTAAGGTCAGTCAAGCAAAACCTAGAATGTTGATTTCATTGAAACCTAATAATGACATTTACACAAGATCTATTTTACTTAAACATGCTTTTACTTTCCTATCATTTGCTCATAAATATACCAAAACATTGTGAGAATTTAGGAAAGCCAAAAATACTTTTACAAATATCTTTAAGGAGAAGTGATTCCCTGAAGACACTATGAATGGAGGCTGTTCCTATATCAGCCCTTGTCTTTGATTAACCACTTAAAGGAATAGAGTAATTATTAAAATTAGTCCGGTAGTGCACCTGAGCACTCTGAGCGAAACCTGACTGCTGCGRAAATCTCAAGGGGGCTGAGGCCCCCCCACAGCACCTCACAGAATTAGCTTGGAATGAGAAAATCAGAGGTTTACTTTGTGAAATGATGAGAACTGAGTTTACTGCTTATCGAGCAGCAGTTTGAAGTCGTTCATTCAAAGAAGGAAAAAGGAGGAGGATTCAGTTCTGGGCTTGGAATCAGTGCAATTCCCCTATTTGACTTCTAGACTTCCTCCTCTCAGGACATGCAGCAGCTTCTCTAGCTGCTCAGCCATGAAATAACCCTGCAAGCAAAGGCTCGAGACCTCTCTGTGTCTTGCYGTAACATCATTATTCACTTGATGAAACGGTGGCCGTTCCACAACATCTCCTGCCTTGGGTTTGCYCCCAGCTGCCGAGGGGCTCTGCTCATTATACAGGTACCTTCTCCCCGAAGCCGGCGTGTGGCAGCAGCAGTCCCCAGACTGGCTCTCTCCAGGCTCGTGGAGAGCCGGCCCTAAACTTGGTTTCACAGTTGCCTGCACATGTTGCTCTGCTCCAGTTTGCTGCCTGTCTGGAGACTGCTTACCTTATGTTTGTCATGTTGTCCTTACTCACCTTGCCTGTCACCCTAAGGCAGACTTAATTATAATGTCATCAAAGGTTTATTCAACAAGACCTTAAGATTGTGCTTTAATTACCAAGACAAAAACAAAAATTTACAACCAAACTAAGCATAAAACATGTTATTTGGCTGTCGGTTGCAGCTTGAGCCTTTTTAGATATTCCAGKACTCTCATTCAGAACTCTTATAGTATCTTCCAGCTGGGAGATTTGGGATGCAGGATTCCTGGTGGCTGTCTATATTTTACATGCTGTCTATAGCCTGCTACTTCCATTTGAAGCTCAATTTTTTAAGGCTTAACACGCCTTAAGTGGAGATATCCAGGGCAAGACCTGCTTCGACCTCCCTTCCTGTCCGTTTAGATGATGTGTGTGGCCATTTCCCCTCCACTCCTACTCAGTCCAGCTGCCCAATGTGAACGTTTGTGTTCCTTACACCTAGTTGGGGTTTAATACAGGGTGGTAAGCCCAGGATACCTGTTAAATTACCAGCTTTCTCCAAGGAACACGTCTCACAAATTATCAACAATTAGTTTTGTCGACTGGATTGGTCCATGAGTTCTTGTTAGTGTTTTCCCTCAAGTTTTGCTGGATTTTCAGTGTCACAAGACAGTCATAAATATCACAAAAGAAAAAAAAAAAAGGAAAGAAAAAAAAAAGCACACGCACAAAATTGGAGTATTCCAGCTCAAACTGAAAAGAAAGAAAAACATGGTAAATTGCCTAAAAGAGTTTGTTTTGAGAGACTGAACATTGTATAAAGGCAGTCTATGCACTTGACTATAGATATATTTTATTAATGCARTGCCTCAAAATGGGGTAAAAGCCTACTTAAGACTTTAATAAATCTTGGAAATGACGGGGTATTTCAGAAGTTAAGCTCACCCTCATTACCCTGTAACACTACCTGCTGCAAGGCCACCGGAGACGTATCGTGCCGTAATTGTGCTCTGACAGGCGACTCGGCAAGCCCGTGCTAACCTCTCCCGCTCCCTCGATACCTACAGATTACTCCCATTAGAGGGGACTGATGAATGAAAAGATCATCGTTAATGGGTATTACTCTAATGTAGGGGGCCAAATCCCATTATCCTGTACAACTGTTTAAATAGTTTTAGGCCAAGGGAGTTCCGCTGGAAGGCAAAGAAACGGAGACCTCTGCCCCAAGGTCCCAGATGTTCCCGTTCCTGGCGTCTCCTTCAGCCTGTCCTGCTCCTGTTCAATGAATCCCTGTTCAATGAACTGATGATTTTTGTTAGGAGCTGGCAGAGGGAACGGGGGCCACATGGTTTGGGCTGTGATCCTGCGGACAGCCGCTACAGCAGGAGCTGTGGGTGCTCTCCCTGCTCCTGATACTTCGATCRTGTTTCTCCTCACCTTTTGCAGATTATTCTAATAAGTACATGAGGAGGGTTATGCAGATTACAGTGTATGCACTGAGTTATTTGATATATTATTCACCAACAAATATAAGATAAAAAGTAAGTCTGCATATAATTACCTACAACTGCTGACTGACTTATAATTAACTTTGAAAAATTGCTGGTTTAGGAGATATTATAGATTACATTTTTAAATATAAGGAGCTTCAGAATAGCTCTCACGATCAGTACAAGGTATTCAGTGAAGGATTAATTCCCTAAACTACTAATCAGCTCTATCTCCTGTCTTATCAAATTGTAAATACATTATGCTGTATTAAAGCATAAGCATGCAGCTAATTAAAGCAGAGCCTGCATTTAATATCAGATACTCCCCCCGCCAATGTAACAACATAACAGAAATGTTCTAAGGACATACATAACAAATGTTAACAAATCAAAGTGATTTTTTAAGTGGTGCTGCACTTCCGYAGCAGGTTTTTGTTTTCATTTTGGAGGATTGTGGGKKTTTTTTTTAAGAAAAGGGAGGAGGGAGGAAAACCCCACAGTGTTTCTGGAGAAGCAGGCTGCGGAAGACAGGAATTCTACCAGTCTAGAGCTGGAAACCYGCAGGAACCAAGTAAGGGATTACAAGCAAAGGTCTACAAATAGAATTGGAAGACATCCAGCTAGAATTTGGTTCATTTGTTAACGTTTTTAACAGATGCTGATGTTAAATGCTTTAAACTAAAAGAAATTGTAAAAGCAGAAAGCAAACCCATCCTCATTGTATCAGCAATGCAGTAGAAATTTAAGTGAAAGCTCAGTGAAGCCTATCTGAGCAAACAGAGGTTCCGAACCATAGCTGAGCATCATTTGCAAAACTTCTTCCTTCAGCTTTACTTTGCTGTTTCTAACTCAAAGGTAATGGTGCCACTATAAAGTAGGTTAAAAATAAATAAAAAATTCACCCATGAAACATAAAATGTAAGACAGAATACCCAGCAAAAAACTTTTTAACCAAATACATTTTTTTAAATTTTCTTTATGTAAACCTCAAAGTCTTTTGGTACCATTTGAAAGTTCTCTCACCCGAAAGACATCTGAGTACATGATATTATTCAGCAACAGAAGACATATATTTTGTCAAAACCTATGTGATATAATACAAAATTCATGAGGCAGGACTTTTGGCGGGGGGTGTCCTTTTTTCTTTGCCTTTTTTTTCTTTTCTTTTTTTCTTTTTTTTTCTTTTCTTTCCTTTCATTTTCYCTTTTCTTTCCATTTTTTCATTTTCTGTTCTTTTTTTTTCTTTTTTTCTCTTTTATTAAACCTCTCTACTTGGAAAAAAAAATCTCAGCAGGAAATAGAAGAGATTTACCAATAAAATCAATAAACATTTGCAGACTGTTGGTAGTGATACTGTTGAGATAAGGTAGAGTTACAGCCCTGTTTGATCAATGTTTATTACAGGGCTCATATTTTTTTAATAGAAGTGGATCAGAAAGGGTTTTTTTTTTTCCCCTCCCGGCACTGGATTCTCTAGGTTTCATATACACGGAAACCTTATCTGACTTGTTCCATTTAAATGTTATTGAAATTCTAAAGCACTGTATTTTGAACTAAAAAAGACTATCCTTTCTTCATTCCCCTCAGGTTAATTTGCTGGCTTTTGGAGTGATTATTTATAAAGTATTTCGACACACAGCAATGTTAAAACCAGAAGTTAGTTGTTATGAAAATATAAGGTAAGTTTGGTACTTCATACAAACTCTTTTCGAGCCAGATATAAAAGTGATTATTCAAAAATACATATTTTATTTTCTTCTGAAAGATTTGTAGAAGAAGAAAGATGTTTCTGTTCTTCCATTCTCCCTATTAATTTGGGGGTTATATTTTGTAATCTTTATTCCCACTGACAAGGCCTTACGCAGTAGCAGTGGGGCTGGGTGTATCAAGAACACAGACCGTGAGCAGCCCCTTCTCAGCAAGAGGGTAAAGACAGATGAGAAGGTTAAAGAAGTAATTTTCCTTCCTTCCTAAGTACTTCCTGTAGCCTCTATGCAGGCTTGAGAACTTGCGCCTGACCTGGGACCGAAATATTTGCTGTGAAGTAGCAAAGCTTGTAGTTACACTGATAACAGAAATCCAAGTGAGATCTTAGTGATTTGCAGTATTTGTGAACAGTACAGCAGGACTCTGTGGCACTGGGGGGAATGGGGCTCTCCAAGATTTTTACTTTGCATGCTGCTATGATTTTTCCATCAACTCACTCTCTTTAAAACTGATTTATAGGGACCTTGAAAACCGTTTGTGCGGGAAAAGCTGAAGTGTACTACAGGGAACATTGAAAACAACTTACTGTTTGTGTTGCTTAGGAACACTCCTGCAGTTTCAATGCATTGCACTAGATTTATAGTTAGGATTTAGCAATTGTTTGATTGATTACTTTCTCTTATTCCTCACCCTTCGTAGCTTCATGTGGTGAGCTGGTTTTAATGAAGTTGAAAATTATGCATTTTCAGAGGAAAAGTGCTAAAAACGTCTCCTGTTCGAAAGAAGTCCTGCAATGACTGGGCTAAGAATGAATAAGAAAGTAATCAGTGGTTTCATTTCCAAGACAACATGCTGTAATTTGCTCAAGTCTGTAAGCAAGGCTCTTCAGCGGGTTAGGAAGAAAATCATAGCAAATCAGTTCTTACAATTTTAAAGTGTGAATACACTGACCCAGGCAATATCTGAGACTGTTTGTGTTCTAAAAACAAAAGTAATTTTTTAGACAGAACGAAAGAAACAAAGTCGAGTTTTACAATCGGCACTGTCTTCTGCAGTGAACCTGAGAGGCAGCCTGGGAACCCTTTGATGTCATGCACATGTACTGACCTACGAGCATACTGTACATTTTTCTGGGTTATTTTTTGAGGAGGARAAGGGGGAGGAGGAGAAGTRGGGGGAATACTTCATAACAGACATATGTTTTTCCTTGGGGAATTACACTAACAGTAGATTTAAATCAAATCATATGGTGCTGCAGTACACCAGAGAAAACAGAGCTGAAGATTAAAGAAGSCAGTGTTTTAAGGTCCTCCAGTTTTAGTCGGTGCTGTTCTGCGGCGCCGATGTGAGCTGAGCCGTGCCACGGTGTTACAGCACACCCTAAAGCACACGCCACGCATTTCCCAGGCCCTTTGGCTGGTAAAACCTGCCCGGGCAGCATTCAGAGCAGCTCGGGACAGAAAATAGCAGGTCTGTCTGCGAGCTGTTTGCAGTGTTTCCCTCCCGACTAGGTCCTGTGCCCGAGGTGCTCTTGCTCTGCTGTTCCTCCTCGGGGCTACCTGGATCTTCGGGGTCCTCCACGTCGTCCAGGGATCCGTGGTCACCGCGTATCTTTTTACCATCTTCAATGCTTTTCAAGGGATGTTCATCTTCATATTTCTGTGTGTGTTGTCTAGAAAGGTAAGTGTCCCGTTGCTCGTCAGAAATGACTTAGGCAGATGGTCCCACGTAATCACACAAGCAGGTGCCCAGCGCTGGGTCTGAACTGGGAGGCCTGGGGGCAAAAAGTGGTATCAGAGCAAGTGCAGAAATCCCTGCGCCCCTGAGGGCACAGAGAAAAATCTGCTATTGATTTCTGCAGAGACAGAACTTCGGCCCAGATTTTTTAAAGTATTCTTCCATGTTTTAAAAACAATCCATGAAACAGTAAATAATGTTTAAAATAACTGTAAAACCGATTATAGTGTCATTATCCCAATGAAATAATAAAATGGGTGTAATAAAACTTAATTTCAGTCTTTGCAGTTAGAGGCTGGATTCACATTCTTCTGAGACAACATATTCTACAGTAGCCCGTCTTAAAGTCATCCTTACCTTAAAAAATTAAGCATATGGAGTAGCAGAAAATTAATTAACCCATATATAGACCTACTAATACATCTATTTCACGTTTGAATTCAATATTTTTATTTCAGATTCAGGAAGAGTATTGTAGGTTGTTCAAAAATGTTCCTTGCTGTTTCGGCTGCTTAAGATAAACGGAAGAAAAACCTGTATGAGCATCTCAGTGGAAGAAGGGAGCAACCTACACGATGTTGTTGCGTTTATTACAGAAAAATAAGGCATTGTGAAAGTATGAAATGACCCAGTGAGCAGGCATCGCTCGACACTGAATAACTGACTGGTTTTGTACATACATGTGCATTCATGCAGAGCATTTGTATTATGCTGTATACAAACAGTATACAAAATGAACTGGAATATTGGAAAACAAGTAATAATGCAGACCAGGGTAAGGAGTAAATTTCTAAAAGAGTACAAGAATATTCCCGTCTTAGGTTTTGTTTCTAGTATTAGAAATATCTGCAGTCCTTACAAGAGAGATACAAGAATCCAACTGGCAGAGCAGATTTTATGAATTGCTCTGCTGGTTTGAACGAGCCCACTGGTTTTTGTAGTAACAAGCTACATCCATTAAGTTGTATGTGGCCATCTGCAGAGAATGGGTTCCATTACAGAGCCAATAGATAAAGATCTGTTTCATCCCGGTCTTTTGAAAACATTTCTTTTAATTTAAAGTAGATTAAAAATGGAATTTGTTTAATATTATTCTCTTATCACTCCAAAATATATATTTGTATATTAATCAATTCTTTATTTTTATAACTCCTAGGGAACTGTTTAAATCCAAAGAACTGATGGCAGGTTTGATACAAGAATGGTGGGACAGCCATTTTGCAAGTGAAAAGATTACTTTGTGAATACTTTGAAAAAGATCTGGTTCTTATTTAATTGCCAAACAGACTGAGATCTGCTCAACTGGCACTATGATTCTGGAGGCTGTGGGAAGGAGATGCTTTCACAAGTGTTATCATTTGATAGAGATATGTGGAATCCAGATCTTTTAGGATCGATTTGAAGCAAAGCAGTCAACATTATCTCTGTAGAAGAATACTATTGTAAACCTAAAGTGATGTGCTTCCATTTCATGCAAAAATGTCATCACAGCAGTTTTCTATACTTGTAGCATCTGTAGCATCTTGTAGCTGACTCAAGCAGTTGTCCTCTTCCCAGGTTCCTGATTTTGAAACGTTTGCTCCGTGTTTAACCTCAGGAACATATGTAGGACTCATGAAATCAACGGGACTACTTGTGGTGCAAGTTTTACAGGATCGGGGCACAAACRTGTTCCATCAGCAGTTACAGCTTTGCCATCTCATTCACTTTAGAAGTGTGCTGTAACTTCACACTTTTAGCACCTGGCTTATGTGAAGTGCTGAGCAATCCGCAGTCCACGCTGCCTTCTCAGGAGGTGTCTAGGATCTCAGATAAGGGCCGTTTTTTTACCAGTGGGACCCTGTAAATATGTAGTTGTTAATAAATCCCACTGCTGTTTTGCCTGTTGAAATAAAACACTCTGAATTTTATTTATATTAAAGAAAACCTTTTTCTAAGTAATGGTCAAATTTTATCTTTTTTTCCATATACACAAGGCTTTTGTAGTGCAGCGACATGCTTCATTAGGTAGACTCCATGTATCTGTCAAGTTCTGGAAGCCAAAAGTGGATTTTTTTTTTTTTTTTTTTTTGAAAGAAATCATTGCTGTCGGACATCTGAATGTAAAATATGTGAATAAACTGAAATGCTTAGCTTTCACATTTCAACAAGTTTCACTTCATTTAAATAAATACAGTGGTAAATGTTCTCACGGTTATATATTATTTGTCATGAATTATTGGCTATATTTTCTTTGGGAAGATGCAGATATATATTATTTAAAAGAGTGTTTTTAGAAGGCTATCTACTAATAGATCATTTTTAATCTCCTGCAGAAACGTAACCTATAGTTAGGCTGTCTGGACAAAGAAGTATCTCCAGTAACTGTATAATGACTTCAGCATGTTCAGTGAGATTGAAAAAGTTCCTTGGAAAAAGAATATATCATAAAGTGTTTAGGCTACAATAGTCTTTTTAATAAAAGAACACTTTCTATATAAAAATGGTGCTCTCCAGTCTCTGGGTCAGATCTTCCCTGAAATTCTGTTTTCTGTACATGCAAAGAAATTCTGTTTTCTGTACATGCTCGTCTTTTACTACAGCACATATGAAGCAGAAAAAAAAATGTTTAGATTCAGACTTAGAGCCTGAAGGAAACTGTAATTGCCTTTTGTAAGCATGCAGAAATACTGAGCACAAATACAAGGGCAGATTTGTGCCAGCCCTGCTGGATTCAATAGATGCCAGCACTAGCCTGAATCCACTGGAAAAGGAAAAAAAAAAAAAAAAAGAGAATGAGAGACAACTTACAGAATGTGAAGAAGAAGAAAAAAAAAAAAAAGAGGTTTCAGAGGGATCATTTTTCAATTTAAAGATGGTCAAGAACTGAAAACAGTTGCTCAGAGAGGCTATGCAGGTCCATTTCTGGAAGATTTTAAAATTCAACTGGATGAAGCCCCGAGAAACCTGGTCTCACAGCTTCAAGCAGGAAGGAGGAGAAGGCCCTCTGAGCTTCCTCACAGCCTGAACTATTCTAGGGTTCTACGACTTTTTGAAATATCAAATTGGAAAAGTAACAGTTGGGCATTAGTTATCATTTTGCTAAAGAAATTTGTACTCAAGTGCCATGCATGAGCTGAACAAACTGTTTTTCCAGGAACAAATCTGTGACCTATTTGTCAGATCATCTGGTAGATAGTTGACTGATTTGGAAAACAAAAACTTTGCATCTTTTCAGATTACACGCTTTTGAGAGGTATATGTCATCTCCAGGTGAGGCCTGCAGAAGAAAAATGATCAGTGATTGACAAGACAGATAAAAATAAAATGTTAAGGTTTCACTCTGAAAGCAAGTGCTTGCTGAAGAGAGAAATTGTTTCCATTAAACCAATCAAAGAGAAATTTGTGCTCAGTGTTGCATTTCAAGGTGTGCTTCAGAATATAATAAATAAGGTCTGGATTAAGACTGGTTTATTCAGAAATAATTATTTCCTCAAAGACTTGGAAGTACATTTCAAAGAAGCTGCAACTTCTAGGAGTTAATTATCATCGAGTCATCAAGGATTTGGGAGTTTCGGTCTGCCAGAGCTGTGCTGATGTACAGATCCTCTGCAGCCTTTATGGAATGAGACATGCAGGCAGCATTGCCACCACCGTAAATACTGTTCAGATTCATTTCTTTTTTTCCATTCTCCAATTGTATTATTAAAGGCAATACTGTTTTATTCTTCTACTAGTGYCTAGTAGTGTCTATTCTTCTACTTTGTGTCTAGTCGACACAAAGTCACCTTAGAGGTGACACAAGTTGCTGGCTTCCTGCCAGCTCTGCTCCCCTGGGCCTGGGCTGTGGGCAGCCCCTCTGTATCGATGGGACCATCCTGCYTTTTTCAGACCCTGAATCTCCATGACAGCGCTCCCGAATCAAGGGAGCCTGATCCAAGAGTCCCTTCCCTACCAGGCTTTGCCAGGTGCCACTCGTTGCTTGGGGCCCTGCAACTGCTCCTTCGAAATGAGCTGGAAGATGGGACTTTCTAAATGTACCTAAATTCTGTCTACTGTTACACAGCAAAGTTGAGAGCAGCAATTTTACTGGGCAAAAGGAACTCAGCATACAAAGAAAAATAAAAAAAAAAAAANAAAAAAAAAAAAAAAAGCAACAAAAAGTAGAAGCAAAATTACCCAGTAGAAAAAACACTTTTTCTTTTCTAGAATAAATAAATAAATAAGGCCAAAATCACAGAAAAGATCATAAAATATAACTATGATCTCTGGTGGTATCTATTTATGACACTAAAGCCTTATTTTTAGGGGCAGCGGCCTGAATTTTGCACCTTCACACTGTAGGGCTGCCCTTCCCCCAGAATTCCTGCTCCGGAGCTACCCCTTAAATATGGCAGCAGGGGGGCTGCTCTGGAGGCTGCTTGGTGGAGCTGCTCACCTTGCTGGTGAGTACTCAAGTTTTGTTGTATTTTGTCTTTCAGATTCCTTAGGAAACAACAGATTTCAATCAGGTTTTATAACATAATATAACAGAGTTCTGAACTCTGAGGTTTGCTGCATTAATTAAAATTAGTTCTCAGAGTAGCCATCAGTCTTTTTTTGGAAGGAATAATTCTTTGTATTTGTCATAGCTATTCATAGAAATGCTGCAGTCAGCTCTGAATTCATGTAAACCTCATGTCATTTAAATTAATTTTATAAGACTTTTGTGGGACAGTGTTGAATAATCTCATTGAATACAAGTTTGTTCTAAGAAGTGCTTTTTACAAGTTTGAAAACTCATGCAAAAGTTTAGGTCTTTTGTTGTTGGTTTGGGTTTTTTGTTATTTCTGTTTTTTCTCTTTTAAGAGGTGATCTGGCTTATTTATTAAAATGCTGTGGGAATTACTGTCTCTAATACCTATGAATCAGTTATATTTTTAATCTGGATAGGGATTTTATTTCCCCATGTTTGGCTGGCTATTATGGGGGCTAATGGATCGAGTTAAAGGCAATAATCTTCAAAATCCCACTCCTCTTTCTCTCTGAGCGTTTCTCCRCTTTCCAGACTTCTGGCATCACCTTGGCTTCTGATGGGTTTCAGAAATAATTGTTGATGATACAGTAAATTTGTTTTCTCTCCCTGGTGTTTAAGTCCCAGTCTTATAAACACTCATGCATTTGCTCAGCTTTATGCACGACTAAGTCTATTGGCGTTAATGAGACTGCTCATGTGCATAAAGTTAAGCATATGTGCAAGTGTTGCATGATCAGGGCCTTAGTGTKCCAATTTGCAGTAATAACAGATTTACATAAATTCATGATTCCAAGCACTGGCTTCCCTGCTCATTATCAATAGGGTTTTTTTTATTTTGTTTTGTTGTTTTGGTTTTGTTTTTAGTTRCTTTTCTTTCACTGTTGTTATGAATCCCCTTTTAGAGAAGTGAAATCAAAGTTGCCTCTCTTACCACCTGTGAGCTAGTGCTGGTTGCACCCTTTTTGTTCTTGAAGTCCATGTTTCCACTGCCCCAACATACTTATAAATGCCTGCCCTTAACCACACTAGTTGTAACTCATTTATGTTAGCGATGAAAGATCAGGTCATACTTCTTTCGCTGAAAATACATTCCATGCTGAAGTGGAGCAGAGCTGCAGAAACAGCATGTGCAAGTATGGGCTAAGACTCATCAAACACCTGTGCCCAATTCATGGCTTCTGTCATCAAGGGGTTAGGCTCTAAATGAAATTAGTAGCAGCTGTAACACATTTAGTACACAGCCAGTTAAGGGAGAGACTGCTTACACACACTTCTCCAGTTGGTGCGTTGCATGAAAGCAGTGAAATGCAAAGTATAATCTCATTGCAATTACAGTCCATGTCCTGGTGAGCAATAATCCTCTTCCTTACACTCAGCTCTTCCTTTGCTTTGTTGTAATCAGGACTTAATGCCTGGAACGTAGCTCGTATAAACTTGAGGGTGACTCGCTTCCCTCAAAGGCAGGGATGTGCACAGCCTGCCGTGCCCAGATGGGGAGAGAGCCAAGCAGGAGGGTACAGGTGTGTGCCCTGTTTCGGCAGGCACTAATGAGGACGTGTACCTGGACATCCTTCCTCTCTGCCTTGCACTGAGACCTGTAAGATCAGTGCAGGTGCCCCCCGGCCAGCAGCCTAATGGCCCAGCTGGGGGCTGGCACCCAGCAGCTGCCCTCGAGGCTGAGGTGCGACCTCAGTGCTGCAAGGGGAGGCAGAGAGGCAGGTAACTGGAGGCAAGGGTGAAGTGGAGGGGATGGCTGGGGAGTAACAGAGGCACATGCGCCCCTGCCAGCTCCCCCCTGTGAAGCTTTCATAGGGAAGAAAAATGCAGGGACAAAACAGGTGGCAGAGAGCTGAGAGAACGGCTTTCATCTCTCTCTGAGTAACCAAACTTGACAAAAGAGAAGAGGAATAATGAGAGTGAGGAGGCATTTAAAGGGGGGGGGGGGGAAACAACAAACAGATTTATGGATTATTGGGAAGATAAGAGAGCATCAATTGGTAGCAGTTTGTAAGGATGTATCCCCTGAAGCTAAACAAAATTGAAAAAGGCATCAACCGAATCTTAAAGCAACTCTCAGCGATATCCTATATGTTACCTTTTTAATGAATGATTTGTATGCAACCCTTCTAGGCTGCAAATATTACAGGGCAGTGAATCAGACAGCATAATCCTGCAGAAACAGCAGGAAAAAGTTTGCAATAACAGAGAAAGGGGGAAAGGTCCTGTGGTTCTGCTCAGCTTCCATGAAACCATATAAACCTATGAGATTTTCTTGTGCTGTCATGTGGTTTAATTTTTTTCTTTAATATTGTTCGTTTTTGGAAGGAAGTTGTGTGCATGGAATATATGTGGCTTAAGGCATAAAATAGCTTCCTTCTGGGTTTGACAACCTTAGGGTGCATCCATCTCAGATACACTCTTCTCTTATTCTGTGTCTTCAATAAAAACTGTGAACAGAAATATATTCTGTACTTACGCATAGTACATAACATTTGTACAAAAAACAACATAAA